ACCACCCTGTGGAAGCCTGGGCAGGGGACTGGGCTACTTAGTTACATTTTGGTGTCACCTGCCTGGATTCCTTACTCAAAAAATAAAATAAATGTTTACTTCACATGCCCTGGAGTCCCCAGGATTTTTTTTAGTTCCTGCCCAGGGGCGTGAAAGTGAGCCCTGACTTACCCTTGAATGGCCTGGGGGGGAGCCTCTCTGCATCCCCCCCCTCCCACACACGACCTGGCCCGCCCCCGCCAGCACTGGGAGGCTGGGGAATGACCTCCTTTTCAGACACGGCAGAGAGTGCTGGGGGTGCAAGGGTTAGACACCCACCGCTAGCCCCAGTGGGGCTGGTTCAAACCTCCCCCCAAGAGGCTCCATAGGAGAAATCCCTGGGCCCCTGTTGCTGCAAAGCTTGCAGCCTAGACACCCGAGGGGCAGTTGTTCTGGGCCATGCAGGGTGGCTGGGAGTCGAAGCCGACACCCACAAGGCCCCTTGGGCGCCCAGACACTGGGATCCCCGTCCTCTTCCTCCCCTCCCCTTTGTCCCCCCGCCTGTCCAGTCTCCCTCCTCCTCCTCCCTCTCCTCCTGTTTCTGACTTCTCGCTGCCCTTCTCCTACTTGCTCCTGCTGCCCTTGCCCAGGCTCTGTCTTTCCTCATGCTGCCTGTCCGTTTCCAGAGCTCCAGAAGCCAGATCCCCCCCCAGGAGCAGTAGGACCTCGGGCAAGTCACTGACCGCTTGCTGCTCAGCTTGACAGGTGTTTGTGCTGATCACAAGCCACCCTAGGGCGGCGTGCACCCCGCGCAGCACGTCTCTCCTTTGAAAGGAGTTAGGCAGCCTCCGGGGCAGTGGATAAGCTGTCCATTCCCGCTCCCCTTTGCTGCTTAAAATTTGAGTCCCACCTCTCGGAAGGAACAGGGGCCAGCAGAGAGTCTTCCCTGGGGAACTTTGGGAGAGGGGGAGGGTTTAGGGGAGCAGCCGTGATCCATGATGCGGGTGCTTCAAACCCACCCAGCGGCTCTGCAAGAAGACACAGTGATCTGCTTCCCTAAAGATGACAGCTCAGGAGACCCAGGGGATCGCTTCCACTCTGCCACAGGGGGTGATGGGAGTTGAAGTCCATTTGATGACCCATCACCACAGCATCTGCCTAACAGAACATTGGCCTGACCGACCACCTCCCAGGGACGTTAACCTGTACCAGATGCCAAACGTCTCCACCACCCACTGGATCTCTGTTGGGGGTTCCCTTCCTCGGGAGCAGGATGGGGCTTTCTACTCCTGTAAACTCACTCTCAGAAACCCACAGGGGCAGTTCTACCCCGTCCTATAGGGTCACTATGAGTCGGCATCGACTCCAGGGTTTTTTCCCTCAGGACCAAAGGACTGGACCGGCCTCGGGACACTGGGATCTCTTCGCAGGGCCTCACACACACTGCTGGGGTTGGGGGCTCTCCTGCCTGCATGCACTGAGGTGGGCACAGGTTTCCTGCCTCATGCCAGCAGAGGCGCCACCGTGACCCTGGGTACAATCCAGGTCCTTGCTTGACACTCGGGCTCTTTGTCCTCCTTTTCTGCTGTGCTTCTGTCTGGCCCCTCCCTCCCTGGCCACAAAGACAGGTGGCCCATGGTCCCTGGTCCTTCGTGCAGGTAGATTGCTCTGCCAGATGCGTCTTTCCCCCGGGATGCTGTGTCGAGACCCTGCTACCTCTAGCCCTGACCAAATCAGTTGCTCTCCTCTGCACCTGGCATCGCTCGAGGAGTGGTCTCCCCACAAAGAATCCTGCTGTCTGTTGACAGGGCCACTCTCTCTGGGAGCTCCTGGCGGCCTGGGGCGTGCCTTGTTCATGCTTTGGCCCTTATCAGATCCCTCAAGAAGAGCTGCCATGCAAAGCTAAAGCTAAGCATCCAGCCGCTAAGAAAGGTTAGCTGTTTGAACCTGCCCCCGCAGCTCCTGGGCGGAGGAAACAAACAAACAAATAAACAAACAACAACCCTGGTGATGTGCTCCTGTAAAGAGTGCAGCCTGGAAGACCCAGGTGTGTGTGTGTGTGTGTTTCTATTTTGTCACTTGGAGTCGCTGTGAGTCAAGGGTGAGTTGACAGGACCCAACAAACACCGGGCCCAGCGCGCACGGAAGCCACTTACCCCAAAGCTGGTGCCTTTCGCCCTGGTGGGTCCCTTAAAGCAGTGGTTCTCAACCTTCCTAATGCCTCGACCCTTTGATACAGTTCCTCATGTGGTGGTGACCCCCAACCATAAAATGATTTTCGTTGCTATTTCATCACTGTAAGTTTGCTACTGTTATGAATTGTCATGTAAATAGCTGAGATGCAGGATGTATCAGGCGACCCCCGTGAAAGGGTCATTCGACCCCCAAAGGGGTCAAGACCCACAGGTTGAGAACTGCTGCCTTCAGGGAACGCTGCAGCACCAGTCACCCTACTGGAACCATCCAGGACAAGCGGGCCGGGCTCCTGCTCCCGCTGTGTGAGCTCAGACGGGCACGATCGGGGTGGCCCCAAGGCCCCATGTGTGCTGCCCACGTGTCCAGCAGCACTCGGAGGGTGCAGGTGATCGTCCTGGAACGGATTCCCGAAGACCCAAGAAAAGAAACCCATTGTACGGTTTAAGGTCTCTGTGGTAGCTGTATCATCTGTTGTCAATTTGAGAGGATTAAGAGTGCAGGGGTGCAGTTCAGCCTGTCAGTCAGATCGCAGCTCGATGACTTCATTCGGCGGTGCTAAGGGGATAAATAGCTCGCTGGAGGCGGCTCACTCCCTGAGACACTCTCTCCAGACAAGACACATGGACTGTGCTGAAGAGACAGCGTGAGCCTCGGAACTGGAGAAGTCACGTGGAGCCCCCTGCCAGTTCTGAGATGCTTACAACACTACTGGATCCACAAGACTTCCACCCACTGGCCTGTGATCTTCCTGCATTTGATGTCATGGCATGTGTTGAGTGAGTCTGAAGAGGATTTTATAGATTGGTATCAGATATATGGGCTAATATCAGACTTATGGACCTGATATGGACTGAGCTGGGATATTTTCTCAATATTCAATTGCTCTTGTATATAAAGCTCTTTCTTATACACATGTGTCTATGAATTTGTTTCTCTAGTCTACTCAGACTAACAGTCTCCAGTTCAAAAAGCTGGCCAGTCAATGGATACTTGAGTAAGGAGTGGGGAAATAGCACAGAAACCACCACACCACGAGTGCGCAAAGGCATGGGCGCGTCATGCAGAGCCTGGCTCTCATGGTGTAGACAGTGATCCCTGTCCCACATCAAGTCACCTGAACCTGGTTGACATACAAGTAGAAAGGAAGCATGGAGCTGACACCAAGTTGGCCCATCTCACCCTTCTTCTGGGGGAGGGGCTTTGTTCGGGGCCCTGGGGAGTTCCGGGGACTTGTGACCCAGATCCCTTTGAGAGTTCCGTGCTCAGATGACAGTGATAGAAACAGAAGGATGAGCCCTGACCTCTGCTCCCAGGGAAGAAACATTTGGAGCCAGGGTGGGGGTGGGGGCAGCCTGGCAGGAAGTGGCAGACTAGCTTTGGTGGGAAGGAGATGGATGACCACCCAGGGAGGAGGGCGGGATGTTCAAGAAGTTATCCCAATGGAGTGGACTTGAGAGAGGCCCATGGACCATAGCGGCCTCTATCAGTTGTCCCTCATTCCTTCACTTTCCAGACTGTATGAGAAACTCTCTGAACCTTATCCTATAGTTGCCTATTTTTCTCACTACTCAGCCTCGGCCTGGCTTTGCATGGAACTTGGGCAGAATGCATGGGTGATGGATTGAATGGATGAGTGAATGTGTGGATGGATAGATGATGGATAGATGATTGGATGGATGGATGGATGATTGGATGGATGGATGGATGGACAGATAGATGGAAGAGCCAATACACAGATTGACAGACAGATACACAAAATGGCCTGATGGGTAGATGAAAGGACGGGTGGGTGGGGGGGATTGACAGGTGAACCTAGAGGTGACTAGGTGGACAAGTAACTAACCAGGTGTGCGATGAGTGGATTGATCGATACATGGATGAATAAGTACGTGGAGTGACAGGTGGATGGACAAATCAACGAGCAAACAGACAACTGGATGGACAGACTAGAAGTATTTGTACTAAAAATAAATAAATAAAAGAAGTATTTGTACACTTGGGAGACTAGATGGTAGTTCAGGCACTAGGAGGGGGTCAGGAAGGAAGCTATCAGAGCTAAGAACTGTGGGAGAAACCCAGGGAGTCAGGACACTGGAGGCAGGGGAGGTGAGAATCTCGGGGTTCATGTGGCGGAGGAGAAGCCTACGTGAAGGAAAGGGGGAAGCAGAGCTAAGCTGAAGGCCCCAATCCTGAACCAGCCCGGCCTGGGCAGAGCCTAGATATGGGGGCCCGGCGCACAGCAAGAGCTGAGGCAAGAACAGGCACGTTGTCAGATCAGAGCCCTCATTACGGCAAGTTGACCTCAGGAAGTGGAGGCCCCAAGAGGCTACACCTCCCAGATCCACCACCCCAGAACATGACTGTTGGCCATGTGAGGGTCTCAAGAGAAGCAAACATTTGTGGGGTAGGGGTTACCGAGCCTCCCTCGGGCCTGGGGCAGCCCAGACCTCCTGGGGTGAAGCTCTCCTTCCTCTCACCCACCCTCCCTCCCCAACCCCCAAGACCACCTCTCACAGTCCTGGCTTCCTCTGGGCAGGGGGCCTGGCCCCCATGGCCTCCCAGGCCAGCCCCTGGAGCACCACCTGCCCCAGCCAGCCCAATACTTCCTGTAGCACAAGAGATTTATGCAAACAGGCTGGGGCAGTGATGTCACCCAAGGGGACTATCTCCCAGTGGCAGGCCCTTCGATAAAATCAGGAACTTGTGCTGCCCTGCAATGTCAAGGAAGGGGGCTCACCCGGGGCTCCTGTAGCTGGGGGGCAGGCCTAAGCCCTGTGCCCGCCCTGTGTCCGTCCAGCCCCTGACGGGGCGCCCAGCGCGAGGGGCTCCGCAGTGGCCCCGCTGAACGAGGCAGGGGAACGGACGGGCTCGGAGCCCGGCTGGATGTTCCAGGCGTGCAAAATGGAAGGGTTTCCCCTCGTCGTCCCTGTGAGTACCCGGACTGCTCCGCCAGCCCAGCCCGGGCCCTTGCTCGCTGGCCCACACCTGCCCACCAGGTCCTGGGGCCCCCTCCCCAACCCCCCAGCTTGCTATCAGTGGGAAGTAGGTGTTTCCTCCCTAGAGAGCCCGGCCTGAGACCCCGTGAGGGGCCACGGCTTCCTTGGAGTGTGCCAGAGGAGGGGGTGGTGGTGGTAGTGGTGCTGAAGGCTGGCCCTTGGTGGGGCTGCGATCAAGGTTGGGCTGGAACTGTTCATTATGGACGGATGGACAGGCGGGCGGGCGGACGGGTGGGGTGGCGGGTCTGATCCAGGGCAGGGCTCTGGGCGGAGGATGGTCAGAGCGGCAGTGTAGAGCTGATGGGGAGACCGGTGTTGGGGGGAGCAGAGCCACTGGACAGTAAGGCGGCAAGCATAGGCCAGAGAGAGACCTTGGCCCAGGAACTGGAGGCTCCTGGAGACTGAAGTTGAAGTAACCCTAGGTCAGCAATCCCCCATGTGAGGCCTGGCACAGAGGACATGGGTGTCGTAAACTCAAGGGTTTGGGTGTCTGGCCCACCCGTCCTCCGGAGGCTGGGTCAAGGGCTGGGATAAAGACAGGGCCCAGGGCTGAAGCAGGATCAGTGTTTAGGACAAGGACTGGGGCTGGGGCAATGTTTGGGGTAGGGGCAGGGGCAGGGGCAGGGGCAGGGGCTGGGCAGGGGCAGGGAGAGACGAACTGAGACTGGAGAAGTGAGGCTGGGCCAGGGCCCAGATTCATGGAGAGTCAAGGCAGGGAGGGGCAGACGGCAAGGTTCAGGCCGAGATTGGGGCTGGCCGGCTCCAGGCTGAGCCTGGGACTGGAGTTAGAGCAAGGGCTGGGACTGGGGCAGGGAGAGGGGTTGAGTCTGTGGGGGAATCCTGGAGACCCCAGGGAGGGAAGACAGGGGCATGGACCTCAGGCTAGGACAGTACCCACTGCTCTCTGCCTCAGAGACAGTTGTAGCCTCAGCCAGGGGTAACCTGGGTCCTTCTAGAGGACCCCCCCACACACATCCCGGATCCCCCCCCACATCCCGGACCCCTACACATATATTCAGGGCTGGGCTGGGGAGGGATAAGGAAGGGATAGCCAGGAAGGGTGGGCCGCAGAGCCACCCACCTGACTCAGCTTTCCTGGCCTGAAGTTAGCTCCCTTCTCCACCCCAGCCCGGCCCAACCTCAGAAGCCAGGGAGTCACCCTGGGGCCTGACACCCCCACAGGCAGGCTCAGCACTGGGCCCTGCGTGCCCTCACTCAGCCTGATGGAGATGGAACTGGCCACAGGTCTAGCCTAGCCCACCCTTCTCTTCGCCTGGGGCTGGCCCAGAGGGCCAGTGGGAGGCTGTCTGGGGCAGCAGGAGCCCAGCTCCAAGAGCCACAGGCCAGGGCTTGGCCCCCCTGCCTCCCTCCCTGACCTGGTCTCCCATCCCTGGGCTCCATGTAGATCGGGCAGGAGGCTATGGGTGCCTCCTGAGACAGTCCTGGTCCCCCACCCAAGGCCTGAGGGCCGCCGGGGTAACCCTTGTGCAATCTGTGGGCACCCACAGTGGGGGCGGGGAGAGGCCTGGTGACTGTTGGGAAGGTGCATGTCCCTGCGGCTAGGCCAGCGTGGGAGGGGGAGGGAGGAGGAGGGGGAGAGGAGAGTGAGGACCAGCAGGGAGGGGGGGAACCCGAGGAGATGAGGAGGGGGAGGCGGTGGGTGGGAAGGCAGGGGCGGGGGAGGGGGAAGAGGAGGGATGTGGGCAGGAAGGGGTGAGGAGGGAGGAGATCGAGAATCCCACGGTGTTGGGGGTGGGGGGTTGCGAGGCTGCCGGGAGGTGAGAGTTCCTGCCCCGTCCCCCCAGGCTCCCAGCTGAAGGAAGACCCTCGTGGATGCCAGCTGTTCGGGCCTGGGTGTCGCCCGTGGGGGGACAGGAGCTGGGGGCAGCGCAGCAGGAGGCCGAGTGGACGGGACGGGGTCGGCGGGGACAATTGGGGGGCGGTGTGCGCGCCCACGGGCGCGAGGGTCCAGGGGCTTGTGGGTGGGCGTACGGCCGCCAGCGCGCGGGTGCGGGAGCGCAGCCATGCATCACGCCTGAGTGTGTGTGCACGTGCGTGTGTGCACGCGGCGCAGGCGGCGTGCGCGTCCACACCTGGGCGGCGAGGGGCACGCGTGCGCGTGCGTGTGAGGGCGCGCGCAGAACCCCGTGAGCGGGTCCCCGCGTGACGCAGGGCGCGCACGCAGGCGGGGGCAGGAGTGGGAGGCGGGGGTCGCTAAGCAGGCCAGGGGCTCTCTAACCTCTGACCTCCAGGTTCCCAGCATCCCTTTTTGTGGGAGCCCAGGCGTCCCCTTCTCCTGGGCCCGCTCCCATTGGTCAGGGATGGGGGTGGTAGGGAGGCTGTACCCCACTCGAGGAGCCTTGCACAAGGGGTTCTCAACCTGTGGGTCGCGACCCTTTTGAGGGGGCGTCACACGACCCTTTCACAGGGGTCGCCCGATTCATCACAGTGGCAAAATGACAGTGATGAAGTCGCAACGAAAATCATGTTATGGTTGGGGGTCCGCACCACAGGAGGAGCTGCATCAGAGGGCGGTGGCAGTCGGGCCATGGAGAACCCCTGCTTGCGCCCTCCCACCCGACCCCGAGCCCCAGCCCTGACACCCCGCTCTCTCAGCAGCCAACGGAAGACCTGGTGCCCTACGAGGCCGACCTGTACCAACGCCCGGCACACGAGTACTACCCCTATCTCAGCAGTGATGGAGAGAGTCACAGTGGTGAGTCCGCCTGCCACGCCTGGGGCCACCAAGAAGGCCTGCTTCTGGTGACAAGTGGGGTGCGCCAGGCCTGGGGTGATGTCCCCCAGGGGTTCGCTCTCCTGAGCCTTGCCACTGCGCCACACGCTGCCAGCCTCACTCCACTTACTGAGCACCAGCCAGGCCCCAGGCCCCAGCCTTTGGACAAATGAGAAAACTGAGGCTGGGGTGTTAGAAGGTTGCAGGCTTGGTCAGTAGGTCAGTGGAGGCCAGTGCTGGCTGCTACAAGAATGGGGCTGTTTTCTCTTTCTCCACCCTCCAGGCCTCATCTTCCTCCATTCTTGTCACACACACACACACACACACACACACACACACACACACACACACTTCACCTCCAGCTCCCACCCACTCCTGGGTGTGGCTAGCAGTGTCTGTCTCCCAGCTGACAGCTGTTGGGGGGCTGTCCCATGCCTTATATATCTAGCAGCACCTCTGGCTTTTCGGCCCATCAGCCATGACTCCCCAGTGTTGCCAGATGTCCCATTTTTGTGAGGTGCCATCGAGTTGATTCTGACCCGTAGCGACCCTATGCACAACAGAACAAAACACTGCCAGGTCCTGCGCTGTCCTCACAGTTGTCCCGTGCTCTGCGACAATCCATCTTCTCCAGCGCCTTCCTCTTTCACTCTCCTGCACTTTACCAAAATGTCCTCTGGGGACCACAATACTCCCTAGGTGAGGACCACGGGGCTTAGGGAGAGACTCTGAGGGACCCTGAGGGCCCAGCTTGCTGGGATCCAACTGGGCCTGGATATCGGCTCTCTGGGCCTGACTGCCCCACTCTCAGGGACAAACTCAGGAGAGCAGAGAGGCGATAGATGCCTGGGACCCGGCAGGGGGTCAGTGCAAGGCCAGTGAAGTCCGCGTTAGACATCCTTGAAGCGAGATGAGGTGACCTAGTCACAGTCATGGGTGAGGCCTCCCTGGGAGAGGTGTGTGCGGCTCCAGAGACACCCCTGGCTCCACCTGCTGGCCAGCCTCAGGGTGCCTGTGGTGGGGGCTCCACAGGTCCGGCTCTCACACCTGCATGCTAAACCTGCACACAGCCCACCTGGAACCTCCACAGGGGGACCATTATACAGGCTCCACCGGGAAGCCTGGCATCCCTGGGTGGCACAAGTGGATCAGCTCTCTGCTGCTAACAGAAAGGTTTGCAGTTTGAACGCACCGAGCCAAAGCAGGCAATCTGCTTCCAAAAGTTCCCAGCCTGTGAACGGCACAGAATGCGGGTCTAGTCTGAAACGCATTGGGATGAACCTGATGGCCGTGCATGCTGGTACCGGATCTTGGGGGTAGGTGGCAAGCACACTTTAAGGCTACATCTGGGTTACACCGGGCTTCTCAGAACTCCCAACCTGGACTTTAAAATGTCCTTTCAAGTTGAATAGTAATGATCCACAGAATATGCTCTGTTGGGAAACTCAGGCAGTTTAGACTCTAGACCAGGTGTCCTTAAACTACGGCCCACCGGCCACATGCGGCCCGCCGAGGACATTTATCCGGCCTGCCGGGTGTTTTTGCCCCGTTTGTTTTATTACTTCAAAATAAGATACGTGCAGTGTGCATAGGAATTTGTTCACAGTTTTTTAAAAAAAACTATAGTCCGGCCTTCCAACGGGTCTGAGGGACAGTGAACTGGCCCCCTGTTTAAAAAGTTTGAGGACCCCTGCTCTAGGCTTTAGAGAGAGGGTCATGTGGGAGACCTCACTGGGAGTCTTGGAATTCTTCAAATTCCCTCATGGCACGCTGTCTTCAGCTCCTCCAAGCCTCAAGGGCAGGGTCTCCCTGGCTCTGGAATCACACACACCCTTTCCCAAACACCTTTGAAGAGGGAGATGGCTTAATGGCTTGATGACGGGCGCCCCCTGGTGGCCACGGGGGCACAACCACGCAGGTCCCTGTAAGCTCTGCGCTGCCCTGGGGGGACCATTTCTCCTCTGCCCAGTGTCCCTCTGGTGTTCGCTGGGTAGGGGGCATCTGCGCACTTCCTTTGGGTCGATTGAGGCTTCAGTTCCCCCACCTGGAAGGTGAGGGTGCAAAACAGCTAAGCCTGCCTGCTTGGGACTGGAGCAGATGGTGTGAGCTCCAGAGAGGAAGTTTGTGTTTTCTGGCCCTGAGCCCAGAGAACCAGTTGTTGGCAGGGTGGTCCCAGCTCCTGGCAGCCCCGCGTGTGTCGGCGCAGAACGGTGCTGTCAGACGTCCATCCCCAGGCACTGCTTCCAGGAGGCCTCTGGGTGGGCTTGAGCCGCCAGCCCTTTGGTTAGTGGTTGAGCAAGTTAAGCATTGCCACCTTCCAGGGATGATGTCTCAGGGGCTCTAGGAATGAGCCCCTGTCTGAGGGCCCCACCAAGACCATGGACTGACGAGTCCCCCTGAAAGGCCTCCCGTGTGCCTACTGGCCCCAGGCACCAACCCCTCTGCCACTGCCCCCCGATATTTATTCTAAATCCTGGTTTGAGCCTGGGGTGGGGAGACATCTGACACTCTCCTACCCGCCCTCTGCGTCTTCATTTTTGTGGGGTGGCAGCATCATGGAGAGGCTCTGGCTCCATCACTCTCTGGCTGCCTAACCTTTGCGCCAGTCTCCTAACCTCTACGAGCCCGTTTTCCTCATCGACAAGGAGAACGTGAAATGACCTGCCCCCGCTGCGTTGTGACGGTTACATGAGGTGATGCATGTAACACGCGAGGAAGCATGCTATACTGAGCACAAGATGGGGAGACCCAGCCCATAGGAGCTCGGCTGTATCGCACCTACCCCCAGCAGGAGAGAGGAAGCAGCTGGGGGAGTGGGGGACGCGTTGGGGTTGGACGTAGGGGGTCTGTGACTGGCCAACTGGCTCATTTCTCACATGTCCAGCTGCCCTCTCACCCGTCCTTCCAACCACTCCTCATCCTGCCGCTCATGCCCTCATGTGCCCACCCATCAGCGATTCACTGAGTAGACACGGTCAGTCCGGGCGGACTAGAGAAACAAATTCATAGACGCTCATGTGTATAAGAAAGAGCTTTATATACACGAGCAATTGAATAGTGAGAAAACATCCCAGCCCAGTCCAGATCAAGTTCATAAGTCTGATATTAACTCATATGTCTGATATCAATCTACAAAGCCCTCTTCAGACTCAAGAAACACATGCAATGATGTTGAATGCAGGGAGATCACAGGCCAGTGGGTGGGAAGTCTTGTGAATCCATGTAGGTGGAAGCATCTCAGGGCTGGCAGGGGTCTCCACCTGGCTCCTCCAGTTCCCAGGGCACGGGGTCAGCGCAGTGCCATGTGTCTTGTCAGTAGAGTGTCTTTCAGGGAGTGAGCAGAGAGAGAGTGTGTCTCCTGTCTCCAAGGAGGAGAAAAGCCCAGAGTTCCCAGAATTCTCAGGAGAAGGCCATGCCCACACAGAGGTCTCTGGTTAGACCTTGATTTGACAGACCAGACTTCACCGTTTACTTGTAATCCTCTCAAACTGACACCAGATTATGTAACTACCACAGACACTAAGGACCAGGCTGCTCCAGGGACTGGACATGACAGACAAGGTCACTGCCTTCACGGGGTTTACGGCCCAAAGAGACAGACAGACAAGTCATGCAGTAACCAGACGTCTCCGTCATCGGCGACAAGCCCTGTCAAGGCAGAGTAATGGGAGGCAGAGTGTCTGGGGGGTGGGGTGGGGGGACACATCTGATCTGGGCAGTCAGGGAAGGCCTCTTTGAGGAGAAGGCAGTTGGGTTGGGATCTGAAGGAAGAGAAGGAAGCGGCCATGCAGAGGGAAGGGTGTTCTCGTGGGTCAGAAGAGCGAGTGCAAGCGCAGGGGCCTCCGCGGAGGAAGAAAGCAGTGGTAGGGAGATGAAGTCAGCCGGCCGGGTGGGGCCAGGTCCCACATAAAGGCCTTGGAGGAAGTGTGGATTTTATCCAACACACAGTGGGGACCCCTCGGAGGATTCTGGGTACGGGGTGATGTGATCTGCCACGTGGAGAGGAGGTGGGAAGGAGGCAAGAAGAGCATCAGGGGATGACTCAGGAGGAGGTGGGAAGGCTCAGGTCCCAGGTGGTGGTTGCTGAGCAAAGAGGTGGCGGAAGCGGTGGAGAGGAGACAGATTTTGAGGGTTGTGCTAATAGGATTAGCTCATTGGGATGAGAATGGTGAAGAAAGTTCTCCAGCGTCTGTCCATCCATCCAGTTTTCATCCATCCATCACCCTTCCACTCATTCGTCCTTTAATTTATTACCCTTCTGCTAACTGACACATCCATCTACTTACCTATTCCCAACCGTCCTTCCCTCTCTCTCCCTACTGGAGCCCTGGTGGCACAGGGGGAGCCACCAGCTGCCTTTGGGAGGGCGATGAGACTTTCTACTCCCATGGAGTCACAGTCGCGGAAACCCACAGGGACAGTTCTGCCCTGGAGTCAGAATCGACGGCAGTGCGTTTTCCCTCCACCCGCCCAAGCTTCCCTCCCGCCAACCTGTCCCTCGAACCATTACTCGCCAAGCATCTCCTATGGGCCAGGCCCTTTGCTGAGTGCTGAAGGGTGGCTGGAACACAGGTCCCGCCAGATCCGTCTTTGACACACTCCTAACTAGGACACAGGGCCGAAGCGTGAGGCTCATGAGACTTGCAACAAGCCTCTCTGTTCTCTGTGTCTCAGAAGCCCCAGCCTCTGGGCCTCCGACTTCCTGACAAGGTGTTTTTCTTGCCCTTCCTTCCTTCCTTCCTTCCTTCCTTCCTGCCTTCCTTCCTTCCTTCCTTCCTTCCTCCCTCCCTCCCTCCCTCCCTCCCTCCCTCACCTTCATGCTCTGGCTTGATCTGAGAGATCTGGATTTCATGTTGGGGTTTCTGCTCTGAAGAGAAAAAGGCCATTGAATTATACTTGCAGGTCGATTGAGGGGGGTGGGTTGGTGGCACGAAGTTGTTTGAGGTACCAGTTATCTGTGCCGTGGTGTACACAGCGATCAAAACTGAGTCACAATAGGGATGTGTGGGGAGAAGTGTGGCCCCAGACAAAGGGCGTGTGAGAGGGGGGCTGATGGATGGAGAGATGGTCTAATGGGGAGTGATGTACCGAGGATGACGAATGGGTGGATGGGAGGTAGATGGTGGATGGATGGATCATGAGTGGCTGATGGTGGACAGACAGATTAATGAGTGGCTGATGGTGGACAGACAGATGGATAAGTATGGGCTGGGATCAAGTCTCTCCGTGGGTCTCACCCTTTCATTACTTATATTATTGTGTGTAAGATCTAGACATACGTTTTGCTAACGGAATGCATGCTGAATCACCAAATGTCTTCACATTTTTGTTAAGTATGATGCGCTTTTATAAGATGTGGGGCATATGTGTCCCAGTGGACTCTAGCAATAGGCTGGGTGGGGTGAGCCATGAAAAATATATTCCCTTGACCAAGGCCTATTCCTCAACACCACACCTTCCTCAGAATACGCAGGAACTGGTAACTACCAGCCTTCTCTTGCGGTACTGAGGCCCAAAGAGATGGTCATTCTACACAGCCACTCCTCTGGGATGCACTGCCTCATGCAACCACCTCACAACACAGCGATGTGGTGCCGACCAAGGCCAGTCTGTCTTACACAGTTACGCAAAGTTCCTGGCCCAGGCCAGTGCGCACTGTGCGTGGGGCGGGGGAGTCCCCCAAGAAATCCCCAGATTCGCTGCCATTGATTCAGTTCTGACTCACAGCGACCCCATAAGACCTCGAGATGCATGTGGGTGGTGCTTGTAGGGCCCGTGGGAGAGGAGAGGGTCCTTCAGAGCTGAGGAGGGATGGTGGCAAGGGTTTGGTCCCCGGATTCTGCCCCTACCAGAGGCTGCGTGTGAGCAGGGACACAGCCTCTCGGCGTCCGTTTCCTCAGGTCTGAAGGTGGCCCTGTTGGGGTGAGGATGAAGTGAGAATGAAGCCTAAGGCTGAGCGCAGTGGCAGGCTCCTTGATCGTTGCATGCCACATTGGCCGCAGGGAGCGGGGCTGGAAGGAACAGAGAAGTCCCATTAAGGGGACCTCAATCACAGGCTGGCCCAGTAAGGGCACAGAGCACCGCAGTCATGAAAGGGCGTCCAGACAGGGGTCTGAGGAGCCTGGAGAGGCCGTCTCTGTCCCTCGGAGGCCTCCCTGTGCTGTGTCCCCACAGGGCCCCAGGTTCAGACGGCTTCTGTCCCAAGCAGACAGGTTCATTACATAACGGCCTGAGCACCCAATCGAGGGGGGAAAAGGCAAGGTTTCCGTTGGGCCTTTTGAAATGTTGGTGGTAGCTTTGGAGTCTCTGCTGCAGCCTCCAGGGGACCCCAGGGCAGGGTCTGGAGGGTCTCCCCCAGGGGTCTGATCATGCAGATTCCCAGCTCCACTCTCGGGGGCTTCTGACTCAGCGGGCCCACCGTGGGCCCGCCAATCTGCAGGCCTGTCTGTCGGCAGGTGAGGCCGGTGAGGCTGTCCCTGAGCTCACCTGAGGAACGCTGGCCTCTGTGGGACCACCTGACTGAGCGGCCAGTGTGAAGCTACAACATGGGGTGGGGGGGGGGGCGAGAAAGAACAGTTGGGAGCCCCTTACCCCACACCTGGTGAGTTATATGTGTTTAGAGATCCCCTCCTAACCCCGGGGGTGAGTGGGTGTGGGGACTAGGGGTAGGGGGGATAGAGGTGTTCTGAGACGACCTGAGCCCTTCAGCCTGGGAAGGGGAGGCAAGGGTAGTGGTGGGGCAAGGGTCCGTGGCTACAGAGGAGCCGGGATCAGGATCCACTCAGCCCAGAGCGCTAGAACATGCCCCAAGGAGGACAAGGTAGTGGGCCTTCAAGGCGGTGCCAAGCCGCATGCAGCAGGGCGGGAGCATGAATGGAGGCGGGGTTGCTTCTCTTTGGAGGAGGGCCACACAGCTCCTGGGCAGTCTGGGCCTCAGTCCTCCACTCAGGACACGTGGGCACGGGGAGCACCCCAAGCCAAGCCAGTGGCCACCGAGTCTATTCTGACACCCAGGGACTCCGTGTGTGCGGAGTGGAGCCGCCCCAAGGGTGTTCAAGGTCTGTCTCCCAAGGCACCCCTGGGTGGGTTTGAACTAGCAACCTTTCCCGTAGGAGTCCAGCGCTTCACTGTTTGCACTGGGACCCCAGGGCTGAACACAACCAGTCCTGCCCACCTGGTCTAAGACTGGGCCCCCCCCCTCCGACCTTCAGGAGAGAAGGGCACACAGGGAATGGGGGAAGCATGTCTGCTGTGTGCTCACGTGCTAAGCCAGGCTTTTCAGAATGAAATTTTGATAATGACGACGACCAGAGACAGGGATCACGGAGGCACTGATTTTTGGCTTTGTGTCAGTTTCTGAGTGCCTTGCAGGCAGTGAGTATGCAGTTAACCCTCGCAGCCAGCCTATAGATGAGTGTAGCTATTTGGCCCACCTCACAGAGGAGGAAACAGGCCCAGACAAGGGGAGCGAGCTGCCCGTAGTCAGACAGCGGTGAATGGCAGAGCCTGGCTCCAGACCCAGCTCTGTCTGTCTGGCTCCTGTGGTGGGCCACGTGCTCCCCAAGGTGGGGGTCTGGGCCACCTGGGTCACAGGGTCAAGTGAGGTGAGGCCCTGGCTTGAGACAGGGAGACAGGGGATCAGGGAGAGGCGATGTCTGCAGGGTCACATAGCAAATCCACCACCGAGCAGGATTAGAACTCAAGTCTTGATATCCAGCCCAGAGCCAAGAACACAGTTTCTTGAGACTTTTCAGTGAGTGTTTGTGAGGAAGGGGGCAGAAGGAACACCATACACACATGTTCATACACACCAGCCACACCTCATACACTCACACATCACAGATACACATACCATACACACACTCACATACCCTTAGATACACATACCCACACCTTCTCTCTTACATACACACAAACCCCGCACACATCCACCTGGCGCAGGGCTTCAAAGAGTTCATGAAGAAAAAAGAGAATCGAATTTTAAAAATTAATTATTTTCCAAAACCATTTTATTGGGAGCTAATACACATATCATATCATTCCATAGCTCAGTCACATCGAGCAGTATTGTACAGTTGGCTGCCACAAACCCTTGAGTGTCCCCAGGGGGCTCTGCCTTGTCCCAGAGATGAGACTCTGGCCAAGCAGGTCTGTACACTCCCTTTTGGGGACATGTCAGACAATCACCCTTGATGGCCACACCTTCTTTCAGATCCCAGATCGTACTCAGGGAGTACTCAGACATGTGGCGGTGCCGGTTCCTGGAAGTGGCGCTGAGAGGAAGCATGTGGAGGATCTGCCTTTGTCCCAAGGCTCAGGCGCCCCAGCATCTGGCTGTTCTGCAAACTCCAGGCCCCACCGCTGACTCAGAGGCACCCCCACGGGGAGTTCCCAGGAAAGCCTCGGGGCCCTCACCAAAGTGCAGGGCTTTGCAGGGCACCGTGTGCTGGCAGGAGCAGGCTCTGCCCACAGTCACACCTTGGCCATGTGATGAGACGTGTGTGCTTGTGATGGTGGGCAGCCTGCCCACCTAGGAGCCTGCTGTCCCTGAGGGCCTGCTGGGGCGGTGGCCCCTGGGCTGCTGCTCTAGTTGGGTACCACAGAGCCGGCTCCGACTCCTGGTGGCCCAGGTGACAGAGTAGGACTGACCCCTAGGATTTCTGGGCTGCCATCTTTACTGGAGCAGCCCACCCCACCCACCCCCACCCACCCCCGCTCTTTCTCTGAAGGAGCCTGAGTGGGTTCCAAATGCCCACCTTTCCGTTCTTCGCAGCTGAGCACTTAACCACTGTGCCACCAGGACTCCTGGGTCCTTCACTCCAAGCACCACCACCTCCACTGCCATCGAGTCAGTGCTGACTCACAGCGACCCCACAGGACAGGGTAGAGCAGCCCCGCTGAGTGTCTGAGACTGCCACTCTTCACGGGAGTTTATTTTTCCCAAGGAGCTGGCTGGTGGTTTCAAACTGCTGACCTTTCAGATTGCAGCCCAAAGAGTAACCCCTAGGAAACCAGGGCCTCCTGGTCCCCCACCAGGAGTTTCCCCACCGTGAACTCATGTGCATCCTCACAGTAGCGACCAGCCCCGTGTTGCAGGTGAGGCCACTGAGTCCAGAGAGGCATGCACACATGCTGAGGTCACTCAGCAGGTCACTGACAAAGCCAGGATTCCAATTCCCGGGCTCAAAGCCTGCGTCCCGTGGCCACAGGGGCAGCAGGACACAGGCTTGCTGTCAGACCCAGGTCCCGGCTTTGCCACGGGTGAGGCCTGGGTGGTCTTGGGCATGTGACATGGGCTCTCCAGGCCTCACAGCCCCTCGCCTGGCAAGTGAGGGCATCTGCAAAGGCACAGCCAGTTAAACGTTCAACAACGAGCCATGACTTCCCCAGGGACACACCGGCAGGCAGTCTGTCTGGCTGGTTCCGAAGGGTCATGGCCTTGCAAAGCCTGCGGGTCAGTCCTGTGCACGCCAGAACTGACTGAATGGCAAAACTGACTGGGGGGGTGGGGGTGGGGGGCCCGGCCACCACCACCCAGTAACACAGTGGGTGCCGGGCCTGAAGCAAGACAGGGGGCCATGCTTGGCCCACGGAAGGCCAGGCGCGACTGCACTCCTTCATTTCGACCTCTCCTTCGTCCTGTTCCCCGCAGACCACTACTGGGACTTTCACCCCCACCACGTGCACAGCGAGTTTGAGAGCTTCACGGAGAACCACTTCACGGAGCTGCAGAGCGTGCAGCCCCCGCAGCTGCAGCAGCTGTACCGCCACATGGAGCTGGAACAGATGCACGTCCTGGACGCGCCCATGGCGCTGCCCCACACCACCAGCCTGGGCCACCAGGTGCGTGCGCCCGTCCCGCAGGAGCGCGGCCTGTGGTGGGGCCGGGACGGTCACAGGAAGCTGACACAGGCTCTTACTCAACCCTGCTTCCTGCCTCACTGCGCCAACGGCGGCCTGAGCCCCAACGGCTGCCTCCTGACCCTCCGACTGACCTCGTGACCCACCCACCCTTATCTCCTCTCCCCTGTAAGCAGGCAGACAGACCCCAGATAATTCCCACTGCCAGCATCGACTGCACCCCAGCTTCCATCAGAACATGGGCCCCTAGCGAACTGACTCAGCCCCACAGACCCTGCCTTCCAATCAGTGCCCTCTGGTTGACCTCCCTGCCCTCTCACGGACCCATCAACCCCACTCACTAGACCCCATTTGGTCTCATAGCCCACTAACTGCCCCTCAGCATGCACACATCTGGCCTCAGGGCTCCTGGAGGCCAAACAGGCCCTCATGCCTCTTTTGCTGGACCCCACAGCCCTATCCCCAGGGGGTCCTGCGACCCTTGCCCCCACAGCTCAGGTCCCTGTGCAGGACACAGGCAGAACATCCGTGTGACTTGCCTGACCCCGACTTTCCCAGCCTTCTCCCCATCTTTCTGCCTCCTGTTGTCCCAGCCACTCCCTCTGACATCACCTCTCCTGCCAGGTCTCCTACCCGACCCGGGTGTGCCTCCCATACCCTTCCCTGTCCCCGGCCCAGCCCAGCTCAGATGATGAGGAGGGTGAGCGGCAGAGTCCCCCGCTGGAGGTGTCCGACGGAGAGGCCGATGGCCTGGAGCCAGGGCCTGGCCTCCTGCATGGGGAGACAGGTAAGGTTCCAGCCCCAGCCCTGACCCACCAGACTTGGCCTGGCCGAGGCCCCATCCCAGTAGAGTCGGGCTGATGGAGCCAGCAGCCATGCCATAGCCGCGCACAGAGCATGTGTGCTTGTGAGTTCATGCGTGTGCATCTCTGTACTGTGTGCATGGCTGTGTGAGAGTTTTCATCTCCATGCCATGTGCACAAATATTTGTGCATGTCTGTGGCTGTGTGTGTGTGTGTGCACTGCTTCAAGCATGAATGTATGCGTATGCACAGCTGTGAACATGTGTATGTGTGTGAATGCGTGCATGTACATCTCTGTGTGTATGAGTGTGCACAGACGGCTGTGACCGTGTACGCGCATGCGTGGTTGCGTCCATGTGAGTGGGTGTGCCGAGTGCATGCATGTGGGCCTCTGCGCTGCGTGTGCATGCATCTGTGCTGTGGGAGCGTACTGGGCACCAGCGTGGGTGTGGTGTGCGCGTGCGTGACCCCGGGGTGGCCACGCGGTGGGACTCACGCCCGCCCCCGGCCCCCGCCCCCAGGCAGCAAGAAGAAGATCCGGCTGTACCAGTTCCTGCTGGACCTGCTCCGCAGCGGCGACATGAAGGACAGCATCTGGTGGGTGGACAAGGACAAGGGCACCTTCCAGTTCTCGTCCAAGCACAAGGAGGCGCTGGCGCACCGCTGGGGCATCCAGAAGGGCAACCGCAAGAAGATGACCTACCAGAAGATGGCCCGCGCGCTGCGCAACTATGGCAAGACGGGCGAGGTCAAGAAGGTCAAGAAGAAGCTCACCTACCAGTTCAGCGGGGAGGTGCTGGGCCGCGGCGGCCTGGCC